TTTATCTCCTTGTTTTCTGGTATGTGTGGTCTCCTACACAAACTGATGACTCCAACACAGCATGAAGCTGGAATCACACAACATGAATGAAATCTGGTATTTCCTAACAGCAGTACTTTTGTGTGGTAGCTTCTATTTTCACTCAAATACTGCTCATTGTAGGAGTGCTTTTAATTTTGAGCCAAATCATTCCAGAATAACATATTTAAGTCTTAGAAGTAGTTACTGCAGAGTTTCTTTCACCTACCACATTTCTTGAGACAAATGTAGCCAAAAGCCTCAGAACTTGGCTTGTTTATCAGAATCGACTCACAATCTGAAAAAGAAATGCAGAAATATTGCAGGTCCTCCCACTGCATCAAAAGCCATGCAGCCAGGAAAGATTGGAAAGGAAATGAAGCACTGAGATGTGCTGTTGGGCAGCCAAGGACCATGTTATCTATGCATCAACCTGATCAAACCGTGGTCATTAAGGAGCATTAAGGAGCAGTTTGGGGGGGAAAAAAGTTATAATTTTACCAGCGGAGATTTGGCTAGGAAAAACAACTACCTAAACCCAAGGATTGCTAAAAACTTCTTATTCTATTCCCTGAACAACGGTCACTCGACCTCTAAAGGAGATGGCCATCATATTATCAGAGGTGACAATGCTTGAAGCTAAGCCTCGTCCGGATTAAGAGTTACTTTTTTCTTTCTGTGGCTTCATACTTTATACCTCTCTTTTCCTTTTCCTTGTTTTCTCTACTTTCAAACTTTTCTGTCAACCAAACATACCAAGCACCTAGAAAGCAACTTTTGTTGCTGACTACCAAAGAGGATATGCTCAAACTAGACTTGCTCTTCACGATCAACTTGGTAATGTTCTTATAACAGTAACACTCTCAAGTCTCAGAATAGTCTGAAACAAGCTTCCTTAGAAATTACCTTCGGGGCCAAGTCACTCATGAAAGCAAGACTTCATACTTGAAGCCTGAACGTTGCATCCAGTGAGAAAACCACGCAAAACTAAAGGGAACTGGGGTCAAATAAGTTTAGGAATTGTGACGTATTATTACATCCTCCGGGAAATTCACAAGACACATCTGCATATCAAAAGCCCTCAATATGCTCTTTAACCTAGCATAACTCTCAATCTTTTTTGACCATGGAAACAATTGTTTTGGTTTGGTTTGGTTTCATTTGGTTAACTAAGTAATACCTTTCAACTCTCATTCCATAGACCACACTTTGACACTGTCACTTAACCTTCTGTGTTCATTGGTACCCTATATACACTCAGCTGTGCCTCTTACAAAAGGGAAATGAGCAAGTCTCAGGGCAACGTTCTATGCTGGATTATCACAATCATCCTTTAGGACCCTTCAATCTGGCATTGTCATCATGGCTTCTTGGATGGTGGGCATCCTTTGGAAAAGGATCATATTTAGATCTCTGGCTTGACTTGATAGCTGAAGGAAGGTGAGGGTGAAGGAGGGTCCAGATAGAGTGAAAGCATCAGTGAAGAAAGGAGAAAAGGGGAAGAGGGGGAAGACATTCAAGAGCTGTATAGAGAAAGTACACTGCCTTTGAGGGAGACTGGGCAATCTACATGTGTGGTTCAGTCCTGAGGGATGAGGTGGGACTTTATCTATGATGAGGCCACCAGTTTTTATTGAAGCTAATTAACGTGGCTTAACTCCCACTTTGTTATGTTCAAGTCATTCCTATTATGGGCAATGAGATCCTGTTTCTTCTTTTGCCTCTCCTGCCATCTCTTCTTTCGGGGTCTTGGGTTGGTTTAGTTGAGCTTTTATTATTAAGACAACTTATCTTCTTTAATGTAAAACTTCTTGATTCATTCCAGTATGTTTTCATTTTTTTCCTGTATCTCAGAATATGCTTCCTCTGTATGTCTGACCATGGGCAGCTGCCAACCTCATGACACCCTCACAACAAGCCAGGGCAAGCGCCCGGGGTTTTGGGAGATGCTCCCTGTGTTCTTCTTGCTGCTGGCAGATGGGCAGTGACTCACAGAGCCAGCCCTTGAGAGAAAGGAATTGGTTCTGCCAGCTGGTGCTTAAGAGAAAAAGAAGGAAAATGCAAGGCTCCCAGAGATCTGCTGGCAACACCAAGGCCAGCCTTGGACATCCTCCCCGCGTCACCACACCCTTCCCTGCCTCCACTTCCGCCTAGCCTCACGCCTTAGGAAATCTGGAGTGTCCCTGTCAGGGCATGCGTGGAAGGAAGTTCACATTTTTGATGCAGCCAAGGAATTCTCTTCCCACTCTTCCCCAGAGTTCTGCGAGATACTTGCTGCATTTGGTATTTACTGTTGGAAAGAAGAGCTACAGTCACGGTGACCACTTTGCTCTCCACGCCCAGCCCGTTCTACCAGTCAGAAGGACACGTTTATGAGGTGTGAGCCTGAAGATGGAAATGAGAGCAGTTTCGGTTCATAACCTGTGGAATCGATCAAGCTAGTCTATGTTGTCAGCTGGGGACCCAACAGAGAACAGTGCCTGGCAGTTAGAAGGTCTGCCTTTCGTTACGAAGGGGTGGCAGGTGGGTGGTCTAGCCAGGAGACCCCACGCTCTTTGCACAGGTCTTGAGTGACTTTCAGCCTTCACCGAGGTGGCAGGCCAAGGGCCTCTGGAGAATCAGACAGCCCTTCAGAAGAAGAGTGGCTCCACTGGCTGGAGGGCAGGTGTCCTGACCTGAGGTGGGGGGTCTCCAGTCTCCGCCCAAGCGCAGACGTGCTTGCTTCAAGTGGGTGCCCCTCATGTGGGCTGGCTGCTGCCACGGGACAGACAGGAAAGGGATGGAGAGAGAAAGAACTCTTCCACCTTCACCTTCAGCATCCCTAGCCATCCCCAGGATCTAATCTATTGAATGGCCACTTTCATTCCTACCTTCTCACTGTTGATTATGTCACCCGGTGGAGAAGGGGCTGGATTTTCCAGAAAATTTTTCTGTCAAGTCATGATTCCCCAAAGCTCAGAGTCCAGGACCAGAAATGTGTGTGTGTCATCCACAAGCCTTCTTAAAAGAAAGCCTGGCCCTTGAAGGCTGTGTTTCGAGGACCAAACTAAATCCAAACTGAAAAGTGAATTTGTGCACCTGTTTGAGGTTTAGAAGGTCAGTGATTCCATCTCCTTCCTCTGGAGCCTGCACAGGGCTCCCAGCTCCCCTCTCATCTGCGGGTGAGAGGCACTGGTTTATGCTGACGGCAGCGTGTAAAATTAAGTGAGTGGCTGGTTATTCCGACTCTAGCACGTCACAGTCCTTCTTATACAGAGCAGGTGTGCACAGAGTTTAATCTGTTATTTGTTTTCTTTTTAATCTCAGGGGGGATCTGGACGAGGTTAACTCCCAGTTTTTCAGGTTATCGAGTTTGTCTGCTGCCAGCTGAGCTGGGCCTCGGGTGGAGAGTCACTGGAAGCAGACGGATGCAGGCGGACTGTCCCAGGGAGAGGGCTCATCTGGACTAGGGGTTCAGGAACAGAAGGGGAGAGACAAAGCGCCAAGGGACTGGGTGTCAGCCCTTGTTGACAGATCTGGTATGGAACCGCAGAGCAAAAAATAAAGAATCATTCCAGGGTTTCAAAGTCTAGCGTAGCTTCATACAA